GTTGCCGGGGAGGACGAGTAGGATATTTTTTTTTGGTGTTTGATTTTAATTTTTTTTTGGTCGAAACGATAGATATTATATAAAACAAACGCACAAAAGTGCAAAGGTACAACTTAGAGCGCAGCCCAAAGCTGAATAAAATGGGAGGACAGGTCTGACGACCGCCTAGAAACCCGATACTAGCAATTGCTAGTAACCAAAACAAGGCACTCAAAACAACTACACAACTAATGCACAGGAAAACTACAACGAAAAGCTCCCAACAGGAGAATAGAGACAGAAGCTGGTCCCCACAGGACAATCAGTTGCTCCCGCTCACACAGAGGCCAACGGCCCAAACCAAAAAGACAATACATAAAGCACTCAGGTAAAGAACCCAGACCAAAAACACAAACTAACACAAACTCAAGCAACAAATCAAAGGAAACAAAACATAGCCCTTCCCCAGCAAAAGCTAAAGAGCCAGACCCTCAGTGAACGATCAACACGAGAAAGATTCCAGGCTCGAGCAACCAACTACCGAAACTGCGATAACGCCTATACAGTAGAATTAACCGAACCCCAAAACCAAATCCCGAATCGACCCGATCCCAACCAAGAGAGCAACGGCCAGCCCCCACACCAGACCTACCCGAACTCCTCTATCACCACTAGCCGAGCTCGAGAGAACCCATCCCCCCGCCGCCTAACACCACTAGCCGCACAGGGGAGGGTGAGAGTGGCTCGTCCCCTCAACGCCAATCACTGCAACATGACTGCCGCAGCACTGGAGTCCCGCACCACCCATCAGCTCACGCACCGTCCAAAACGGCCACAAAACACCAACTTTCAGAGGTCGGACACCCGGAAAAGCGCGACCCATCAACCGCAGACAAAAGAAAATTGAATGGCTTACCTCCACCGAACAGCTCCCGCCGGCAATTGAGCGAATCGCCGGCCAGACGTCGACCAGGAGGGTCGTCACCACCAACCTTAGCCCCGTCTGCAACCAATTGAAAGGACCTCCGACCGCTGAGCTTCCATGGCCATCTCAGGGGCGCGCGTCACCAAGAGGGGAACGGGTGGTCAAAGACGACCATGGGCCGTGACGTCTCCGTCACCGGGGAAGGCGGAGCGATTTGATTTGAAGGGAGGTCTGATCGGATTTGGGGGTTAGGTTTTCGGAGAGGCCGATGGGTTATCCCAAATTTTTAATTTTTAATTTAGATAACTAGACTAAAAACTCGTTTCTACATTTTCTATTACTAAATAAATAAATATTTTGATTATATATAAATTTTGTACTTATTCATCATTTTATAAATGTTTTACATATAAAACCATAAATTTGTCATATGTTGAAATATTTTAATTTAACGGGCATAGTGGTCATATAAAATTAAAAATAATTTTGTGTAATATTTATATGAAAATAATTGTTTTCATAACTTATTTGTTTTGATCAAGTTGAATCGATTTTTCCACTTTAATAATGTAGGTTTTTTATGCTGTGAATATATTATAGGAGAATGCTACCATCCCGTTACGGGATGGTTCTGTTATTTTTTTTAACCGTAGATTATCTACAGATTATTAGATTACGTGTATATCTACGGCTACAAAATACAACGGAACCATCCCATAGCATTCCCATATATTACAACATTTTTATTGAATAACAACTCTTATTTTTGTATTAAATTCTTTCAAAAATAAAAATAATATATATATATATATATACATATAAAATTATGTATGCCTTTGGCTACACTACAAGAAAAAGATGAAATTCCGACGGAAATAAATTCCAATATAATTATTTCAACGACAATTCTAATGGATATTTCAACACTATTATTTCCGTTAGAATTTTTCAATGGATTCCAACGGAAATTCCAACAAAAATATTCCGTTGGAATAAGTTTTCCATTGGAATATCCGTTAATTTTTTACGATTCCAATGGTAGATTTTCTAATGGGGGTGGAAATAAACATTCCAATAGAAATTGTATATTCCAACGGAAATTCCTACGGTATAAAGCCGTTGGAAATATAGCCGTTGGAATTATTAAATTCCATCTAAAATTTCAATGAAAAACACATATTCCGTTGGAATTTTTATTGGAATCATTCCAACGGAAGCTATACCATTGGTATATCTGTTGGAATTTCCATTGGAATATATTACCATAGAATTTTCCGGTGGAATATAACAATTTTTTTGTAGTGCTAAATTAGGGCTGCAAACGAGCCGAGCCGAGTCGAGTCGAGCATTGGTCTTATCGAGCAAGGATTGAATTTTTTTTTTGTGCTGCTCGAGCTCGATTTATGAGGCTCGAGCTCGACTCGATAAGAAAATACAATGAGCTCGAGCTCGACTCGAAATCAAATGCTCGAGCTCGACTCGAGTTCTGCTCGAATTTTTTAAGTGAAATTACCATTAATCACTTGTGTTTTACTATTTAAATATATATATAAGGGGTATTTTAGTAATTTAATATATATCGAGCCGCTCGACAAGGCAAAATATGGGCTCGAGCTCGACTCGAGTTCGTGCTCGAGCCGCTCGAGCTCGACTCGAGTTCGGTCAAACTCGAGCTCGAGTCGAGCTTTGACTCGAGCGCTCGCGAGCGGCTTTTGAGCCGCTCGACTCGTTTGCAGCCCTATGCTAAATACATATTTGAAATGTAAAAAAATAAAATAAAATAAATAAATAAAAATTACAAATATTGACTAAAATATAAACTTCAAATGAAAAAATTTAGCTAAAAATTTTACATGTAACAAGAGTGATATGTATGAAATTGATTTTTTTAATGTGTACATCATGGATTTGTTGTAAAAATCATTCAAAATACTAGAATGAGATTAAGAAAAAAAAACAAGGCTAGCCATATATGTCGTGTAGGGATCTCTTGTTCGTAAACACTATGCTACACAGTAATAAGATAGCTATAACAAATTACGAGGAGCTTTGTCTATCAGAGTGCGGCTACAAATATCATAATTTGTTACACTGCCACCTAGTGGATACACCAGTCACATAAATTTACATGTTGCCTTGGCAATATCTATTCACACCATATGCTAACTTCACGGAAAGAGATGGTGCAGCAATTGCCTTATTAAAAGAACCAGCAGTGAACTGCAATTGCTCAATCCAACCAACTACAACGGACCAATGCCAAAAAAGAGCTCAAGACATGCTAGCAGGAGCTAGTTTCTCACGAAGCTTTGCAATCCTGGTCCGGAGAAGGAAAGAAAAAATTTACATTTAACGAATGTCAGAATGGTTAGTCAACAGATAAATGTTTGAAACTAAACAAGACCACCCCATACAACTCAAACACAATAATTTGTGATTTTCTTTTGGTTTCTTATTTGTTTACTATGTACGTTGAATGATTTTGAACGGCGAATAGATGGATCTAAGTCCAAAGCAATCGAGAAGGACTCCCCAGCTCCATCAAATTCCATTAATATGGTTGCATTATGGAAAACAAAGCAAAGAAAAAGTAACATTCGAGCTTACCTATAATGGGAATGACGATGAGGTCGATGTTCTCCTCTGCAATGTCGTCTGCTAGGTTAGGGCAAAATTCAAGGATTAATATGGTAGGTTTTTGTAATTAAATTGGTGTTAAGGGGTAATTTCGTCCGTTTACACACAGTTTTGAGGCAAAAAAGTCATGATCAGTAAAGGATAAAAATATCACGGGGTCTAGGCAGGAGAGAAATAATCGGGCATCAGCGGATTTTGTTGTGGGCCCCACCGCCACGTGAGATTACAGGTCAGAATTTCCTGTCCCAATCAATTAAAGTAAACAATGGATATTGAGGGATAAGTTACCTTATCAATCTTCAGATATTAAAAAAGATTCACCTACGTGTTCCTACGTAACTTCTGCATTTTTAGTTTAATTTAAAAAAATATAAAGAAATACTAATAACCAATAAATAATAAATAATAAATCATAAATGAACAGTGTTTGAGTTGGTAGAATTGGATTACGGTTAAGAAGTACTCAGTACTCAACACTTTCTATCGTGTTGGGCAGTTAACAAGTCATGTTTTAATTAATATTGTAGGGGGATTAAGTATTGAGTATTATTCAATCGTTAATATTGTAGTGGGATTAAGGAGTACACTTTCTATTGTGTTGGGCAGTTAACAAGTCATGTTTTAATTAATATTGTAATGGGATTAAGTATTGAGTATTATTCAATCGTTAATATTGTAGTAGGATTAAGTATTGAGTATTATTCAATCGTTATAAATCGTTACAATTACATCTATTCCACAAACATGTTATTTATTTATTTATTATGAAGAATGAAGAATGTTTGTGCTACCTGTTTTTAAAATACTTTATATTTAATTTCACTACTATTAGATTTAATATTTGTACACAAAATTTAAGATAAAAAAATTTATAAAATTCAGGCAAGAAGCATACGAACACTTATAATTATTTTAATTTATAAATTATAAATTATAAATTATGAAAATTAGATAAATAATTTAAACTAAAATATTTAATAAAAATAATAATAATATAGTAATAGTAATACTAATAGTGTATATATCGTGTTCAGATATTAAGAAGATTCACGTGTTCCTACGTAACTGCAGCATTTTTAGTTTAATTTAAAAAATATAAACAAATACTAATAACCAATATATAATAAATCATAAATGAACACCTTCAGTTGGTTAATTAGATCGCACTCTATCGTGCAGTTAAGGAGTACCCACATTTTCTATCGTGTTGGACAGTTAACACGTCATGTTTTAATTAATATTGTAGTGGGATTAAGTATTGAATTATTCAATCGTTATAAATACATCTATTCTGAATCATTATATCGTATCTTCACTGCAAAACACACACGAAAGCAACCAAACGAATAAAAAATCATGGCATTCACTCTCCTTAAGAATGTGAACATGGACAAGACTGAATGGAACATCAAGGTTCGTGTTGTAAGATGCTACGAGCGTACAACATTTGGGGATCGCTCTACAGTTTTGGGTCTTGAAGTAATACTTCATGATTCTGAGGTAAATCATTTTTCAATATTCACATTGAATATAATACTTTTTTCCTTATAATATATTGTTTTATAATTATTTTTTTTTCTTTGTTAATTTCAGGGGTACCGTATTCATGCTTCTGTCAAGAAGTTTCATATGGAACTTTTTAGGCGCCATCTGAAGGAAGGAAGCGTTCTTGCTATCAGGGACTTCATTGTAGCTCCAAACGGTGGTAGGTATAAGACAACAATAGGAAGGTTCAAAATTGCTTTTCATGGCCGCACTCGGGTGGTGAGAGTCTCCGAAGACAGGTTTACAAAATTCCTCTACAATTTCACGAACTTTTCTGAGTTGGCTAAAGGAACCTTTTTCGACCCTATGCTCATTGGTGAGTCTCCGAAGACAGGTACCAATGAGCATAGGGTCGAAAAAGGTTCCTTTAGCCAACTCAGAAAAGTTCGTGAAATTGTAGAGGAATTTTGGAAACCTGTTTTCGGAGACTCTCACCACCCGAGTGCGGCCATGAAAAGCAATTTTGAACCTTCCTATTGTTGTCTTATACCTACCACCGTTTGGAGTTACAATGAAGTCCCTGATAGCAAGAACGATTCGTTCCTTCAGATGGCGCCTAAAAAGATCTATATGAAACTTCTTGACAGAAGCATGAATACGGTACCCCTGAAATTAACAAAGAAAAAAAATAATTATAAAACAATATATTATAAGGAAAAAAGTATTATATTCAATGTGAATATTGAAAAATGATTTACCTCAGAATCATGAAGTATTACTTCAAGACCCAAAACTGTAGAGCGATCCCCAAATGTTGTACGCTCGTAGCATCTTACAACACGAACCTTGATGTTCCATTCAGTCTTGTCCATGTTCACATTCTTAAGGAGAGTGAATGCCATGATTTTTTATTCGTTTGGTTGCTTTCGTGTGTGTTTTGCAGTGAAGATACGATATAATGATTCAGAATAGATGTATTTATAACGATTGAATAATTCAATACTTAATCCCACTACAATATTAATTAAAACATGACGTGTTAACTGTCCAACACGATAGAAAATGTGGGTACTCCTTAACTGCACGATAGAGTGCGATCTAATTAACCAACTGAAGGTGTTCATTTATGATTTATTATATATTGGTTATTAGTATTTGTTTATATTTTTTAAATTAAACTAAAAATGCTGCAGTTACGTAGGAACACGTGAATCTTCTTAATATCTGAACACGATATATACACTATTAGTATTACTATTACTATATTATTATTATTTTTATTAAATATTTTAGTTTAAATTATTTATCTAATTTTCATAATTTATAATTTATAATTTATAAATTAAAATAATTATAAGTGTTCGTATGCTTCTTGCCTGAATTTTATAAATTTTTTTATCTTAAATTTTGTGTACAAATATTAAATCTAATAGTAGTGAAATTAAATATAAAGTATTTTAAAAACAGGTAGCACAAACATTCTTCATTCTTCATAATAAATAAATAAATAACATGTTTGTGGAATAGATGTAATTGTAACGATTTATAACGATTGAATAATACTCAATACTTTATCCTACTACAATATTAACGATTGAATAATACTCAATACTTAATCCCATTACAATATTAATTAAAACATGACTTGTTAACTGCCCAACACAATAGAAAGTGTACTCCTTAATCCCACTACAATATTAACGATTGAATAATACTCAATACTTAATCCCACTACAATATTAATTAAAACATGACTTGTTAACTGCCCAACACGATAGAAAGTGTTGAGTACTCTTAACTGCTGCGAGTACTTCTTAACCGTAATCCAATTCTACCAACTCAAACACTGTTCATTTATGATTTATTATTTATTATTTATTGGTTATTAGTGTTTCTTTATATTTTTTTAAATTAAACTAAAAATGCAGAAGTTACTAGGTGAATCTTCTTAATATCTGAAGATTGATAAGGTAACTTATCCCTCAATATCCGTTGTTTACTTTAATTGATTGGGACAGGAAATTCTGACCTGTAATCTCACGTGGCGGTGGGGCCCACAACAAAATCCGCTGATGCCCGATTATTTCTCTCCTGCCTAGACCCCGTATTTTTATCCTTTACTGTTCATGACTTTTTTGTCTCAAAACTGTGTGTAAACGGGCGAAATTACCCCTTAACACCAATTTAATTACAAAAACCTACCATATTAATCCTTGAATTTTGCCCTAACCTAGCAGACGACATTGCAGAGGAGAACATCGACCTCATCGTCATTCCCATTATAGGTAAGCTCGAATGTTACTTTTTCTTTGCTTTGTTTTCCATAATGCAACCATATTAAATTCTGTGTTGAATTTTGCCCTACCATAGCAGACGCCATTGCAGAGGGAAACATCGAGCTCATCTCTCGCCAAGGTAAACTCGAATATCACTTTTTCTTTGCTTTGTTTTCGATAATGCAAACACCACTTCGATTTCGTCGCTCTGTTCATAAACCCTAGTTTTTTAGAGTCGGGTTTTGTCGGATTCGGGTTTTCAGATTTCTGTCTTTGTGTGCTTCTCCTCGCCGATTTTGGGTTGGGATTGTTAGGGTTCGGGAGCTTTTTGAAATAGCAGGGCAAATTAGATTTCAGCAGAGGGTTTGAATCGACCTATTGGGGTAATTTAGGAGTTTTGTGTTTTATCTCATAATTTTGTCCATAAAAGTAAATGCTTGACAAAAATCACAGATTTTAATCATATACTGTAAACGTGGGACTGATAGTGACGTGTAAAGTAAGTCGGATTATTTTAGCTAATCCAGTCCTTCAAAGTAAACGATGTCTTACTATATTATTATTATTATTAAATATTTTAATTTAAATTATTAATCTAATTTTCATAATTTATAATTTGGATTGGGGTTGCAAATCAAGTACGGCTTAAAGTTGCGAGGATTGAAGTCGTTTGAATCTCCAGCTACACACAGTTCCAGCTCGGCATAGCACATACAATTCAATTCCTAGGAGCTTATACAATCTCCGTGAGTAAAGATGGCTTCGCCGAAGAAGGGAAAGGAGAAAAACAATGGAAAACCGCCGGCAAAGAAGGAAGGACTGGGGTGGATTGAATGGCTGATGGGGTGGTTAAATCTGGCGTACGAGATGCTGTTCCAGAGGATTATCGCCAGCAATTTGCCCAACCCGATGCCCCTTCCCCCCATTAATGACCTCACTTTCGTTGTCACCGGCTCCACCTCTGGGATCGGCAAAGAAATTGCCAGGTACATCCACATTTTTTCTTCTTCGTGTCTTTTTATTCAATGGGTTGGGATTTTTGTGCATGTTGTGAGAATCGGAGTTCATTGGGGTATTTTATCTTGAATTTCTCTGTACAATTTATTTCAGTCACCACATCCCACAACAGCTTGCTTACACTTGTTAATATGCAAAGGCATTACCTTCTAGTGGTTACCATCTGATTATAAAAGTGCATCGGAATCAGTTTCGGAAACGAGATTACTATGTATTTTGAATGGTTTATGGCTGGCCTTGCTGTTTAGGTTTGTTTCTGAATTCCTTTGTGGTTATTATTATTATTTCACTGGATAGGCAATTGGCTGAAGCAGGCGGGCATGTTGTGATGGCTGTTAGAAACCCAAACGCAGCTAATGACTTGATTAAAAAGTGGCAGGAAGATTGGTCTGGGAGGGGTCTTCCTCTTAATATCGAGGTACTTTTTAATTAACCTATTGAGCCTATTGGTTGGAAGCAAGGTCACATTAAGCTCAACAGCATGATATGAACAGCTGAATTCCTTTGTGCTGATTGAGTTATGCTTCAAACCATTTAAATAAAACACAAATTTGCTGCTTTAATATTAGTCCGACTGCAAAGTAACTTGTACACCTTTCAAGGTTATGGAGCTTGATCTACTCTCGCTGGATTCTGTTGTGAGATTCGCTGAAGCTTGGAATGCACGTTCAGGACCTCTACATGCTCTCATCAACAATGCTGGGATATTTTCCATTGGAGGTTTGTATAATAATAATAATAATGTGTAAAGTTGTCCTTTCAGTTAATAATATATTGAGTGGCTGGCTATTACACATCATTGCCTGTAGTTTGATTTTCTCGTGATTTGTGTGTGTTTCATAATGTCTAATTAAACTCCTCTCTTCATTTGCTTTCTTCTTTTTAATTTTCCTAATTATGCTATATCTCTTACTAAATAAAAAGAAAGGTAACTGTTGAGCCCTAGTTGAACTTACACAACATTTTGGTCTTTCAGAACCACAAAAATTTTCAAAGAACGGTCATGAAGAACACATGCAAGTGAACCATCTAGCTCCAGCACTGCTCTCAATATTGCTTTTGCCTTCTCTGATAAGAAGCTCGCCAAGTCGCATTGTCAATGTGAATTCTATCGTGAGTTTTACGATGATTGTTTGTATTCTTTAAGCATTTCGACGTCAATTACTAAATTGATTTCCTTATGAGGATTGATGTGAATGAGTAGAACAAATTCGTGAATTCTAGTGGAGCTGCATATATACCCCAACACCATTTACGAGCTTTCCTCGAATTTTACTTGACAAGAGCTGAATTAGAATGTATATATGTACAAAGGTGGCCACAACTTATGGTTAAGACAAATAAAACCTGAACTTAACATAATGCATCCAATTGAGCAGCTTTGAAACTACATTCAGTAGTGAGGATAAGTTACTTGGAGCCTGGGAATAAAGCAACAATGTTGCTTATGGATTTCCTACAGAAATATATAACAACCTTCTTCATTGCTTTTGTTTATCATCTGATGTAAAAGGAACTGATGATCGATGTTTATGTAAACCATAATGAAGAGGAAAGGTGTGTCTGTGTGTGTGTGTGTGACTCTGTGTGTGTGTGTGTGTGTGCATATGTGGGTGATATGGATTAACTGGTGATGTCATTCTTGGTTGAAGGTTTAGTAAGTTTGTCATCTGATGGAAAGAATGTTAGACATTCTGCGGGTCCAAATATTTGTTTTATGCATAAATCAACTTGACGCTCCAAGCTTGCAGCTAGATGCTTGTAAGTTAGAGAAGGAATATAAACTTTTTTCTCGGATATGTTATTAGCGTTTATTAAACCTCATTTTTCCAGATTTTCCATTGTAAGTCCTTTACTACTTGAATCCTGGATAGATGTATTTACTTATGTGTTTGGTATTTAATTTCTTCTCCAGCTGCTGCTATGCTTCTAGTGACTTTATCCATTTTGTGATTCTCAGATGCATAGTTTAGGATTTGTTGATCCTGATGATATGAATATTACGTCTGGGAAAAGAAATTTTTCGAGTATGGTGGGATATTCAAACAGCAAACTGGCTCAGGTGCACCCAAGTTTTGCTCTAACTTTGATTTTCAGTGTAACTTGTTTGTTTATCTTCAAGTGGGCCTTAACTTATTCAGATATCTCAATAAACTAAGCTCTGTTTGAATAAGTTGAATTTTTTTTTTTTTACTTAAGACTTGTTCTTCTTAAATGTTTCCCTTCTTATTAACGCCCTCATGTTCACTGAACACCAGATCATGTTCAGCACTGTCCTTAACAAGAGACTACCAACCGAAGCTGGCATAAATGTAGTTTGTGTTTCTCCTGGAATCGTACACACTAACGTTGTAAGTGTCCAACCTGTTTGAAGCAACCAAATATTTGATAACCACATAATTTTAATTTATTATACCATCCAGTATTATATAATAATAGTCTGGTCACTTCCTTCAAAATTTATCACAATTCAGGTCCAACTATTTTGATTTCATGAATGCAGGCGAGGGATCTCCCAAAGATTGTTCAAGCTGGTTACGGTTTAATTCCATATTTTATTTTCAGTCCTGAAGAAGGTACACGGACCTTAATTTTTTACAAATGCAGACACTACTAGCTCAGTCTAATTTAATTTCTTTCTAGAGTGTGTATGATATGAAGATTCTTATATTGCATTTCTGTGGCTATTTGCAGGCTCCAGAAGCACACTATTCGCAGCCACCGATCCCCAACTTGTGGATTACTGTGAGTCTCTAAAAGCGGAAGATTGGCCGGTTTGCACTTTCATTAACCATGATTGCGGGCCAGCAAATCCTTCAGAGGAGGCACACAATCTTGAGACTTCTTATAGAGTATGGGAAAAAACGCTTGAGCTTATTGGCCTACCCTCAAATGCTGTGGAGAGGCTTTTAGAAGGGGGCCAAGTTAAATGCAAATATGGGGCCGCCTCAGAGTAGTATCATTATCGGTGATCGATATTACACTTTTTTTATCGCTTCTCGTTCTCCTTTTTCCCTCAAGTTAGTAGAGGATCAATCACGGTTTGGGTATTGCACGGTGAACCTGAGATTTTATTGTTGTCTGGGATTGAAGCTGCAACTGTGTAATGTTGGAACTTGGATGGTTCAGTGATTGTATTATTATTAATTTATCATTGATCAACTCTTGTAGGATGAAGCCTTGACAGCAGATTCTCTGATGCTTTCTTGTAATAGGATTGTTATAGATCTGTATATTTACTTTTGCATAAGTGATGCATGATTAGTGAGAATTTGATTTATATCTCATTGGGTCACCTGTCNATATTATTATCATTATTATTTCTATGTTTGTCACCAAGCAAGACATATAAGTTTAATTAACACATAGAATTAGTATTCAGGTTATAAGCTTTTTATCCCAAATAGAAGTTTTAACCTCAAAAACAAAACAAATTAAAACAACAAAAGAAGAGCATGAATAAAAAAAAATTGTAGTTTGTTAATTTTAATTTTATACTTAATGAGATAAATTTTGAATTATCATTTATCAAACAAAAAGGAAAAATAGTAGTATTTGTTGATATTTGCAGCTTTACTTGTGAAGTATTATTATCAACTGTGCAGAATAGATAAAGAAATTAGTACAGTGCAATATTTTCTCTCTTTAGTTTCCCAATAACCTAGGCCTAGTGCATTAAATGTTGTATGTTGTCTATCACTACGTGTCATCCTTTTATTGGCCAACAATCAAATCATTTCTAGCGCGGATTTTCTCAGTCCTTAAACTCGCTTCTCGCCTCAGTCTCCTCTCCTGCTCTTCCCTGTTTTTATTGTGCTACGCAGCAGCGAAAGAAAGAAAGAAAAAAGTCTTTACACAATCTCCAGTCCACTCGTCTTGCTGTGCGTCTATTTGCACAATTTGTAAAGTCAACTACAAAGAACAGAGCCAAGAATCAAAGGTGTGGAAAACTTGATCTTTCTTTGTTCTATTTCGTTTTTTTTTTCTACTTGTTTTTATTTTGGTTCTAACCCTTCTAACAGCCTACAGAGTAACTTGTTAAATAGGTAGAAAATCGAAAGTAAAAACAAGGAAACTGGTACAGTGTGCTCTTCTGTAATGCCTATTAACAGCTGGAAATGTGTTTTTAGTTTGAAGTAATTAATTATTTGGTGATGTCAAGATTTATATGGTCTTCATCATCATATACATGTCCAAGTATTTATGCATGGTTGTTTGTGCCCGTACAGATTGGTGCATGTTGTGAAGATTATGCAAGAAAAGAAAATAGTGCAACAAGTGTTTGGTTTGTTTTTAAATGTGGTATAATAATTAATTTGAATTGTCTGCAGAGATGGTGGCAAAGTCTGAGAAAATAGGTGGTGGGGAAATGGTGGGCTCAAACTCAAATCAACATAGGAGAAGAAGCTTCAATAAACCATCCTGGCCTCTCTGTACCATTGCTGGTAACATATCACATATTAATATATCCTTTCAATTATAATAATGTTTATGCTGGTCCACGGGTCGGGTTAACTTTCATACTATCCCTATTGATCATATCAAATATCAATTCTTTGTGTAGTGCATGAAAAGAAAAAAAAAAAACATTCATAAAAAGTTTTATTAAAATAATAAAACGTAGTTTTTATTTTAATATATACACTGGCCACAATAACATCCAACTACATTAGTTTAGCACTTCACATAAGCTTCTCAAATAATCATAAGTTTTCAAACTTGCATTTTAAGACTTATGTTTGGAAACCACAATATTTAAATAAAACCTATAATTAAATTGGGAAATTTGGCTGGTAATACCCCCTATTTGAGTTAGGTTCAAATTCAAAAATATTATATGTAAGTATTACTAGTAAAACCTCTTTCTGAGCTAGGTTCAAATTTCAAAATTCTATTTTCTTTATCTTTTTTTTTTCAAAAAAAAAAAAATTTGAGTGAGAACTGAGAAGTCAGTAAAGTTGCAAGAACAAGTTCATTTTTACCAAACGTATGCGTATGGGAAAAGATTGGAGTTTAAATTTTGATTGTAGTGTGGGGTCACGATAGAAGATGCTTGTTTCCCTATTTATGCAATCTTTGCCTTCTCTTTGGTTATTTAAAATAAAGAAATAACATTATGAGAGGTCCTTTTCAAAAGATGACCAGCCAAGAAAAGGTTGTATTCAAAAAAGCCTGCTTATTTTACCATCTTTTGCACATTTGCTGCTGTGTATTTTTGTACCCATTCCAGCCTTAGCCACAACATTCTATGTTTGAAATTTTAGATCTTTTTAGCTATGTAGCCATAATTGTTGCCGTGTTGCAGATTGAATCATGATTTCATTCAGATTCATAGACTTACATATCTATCTTTAATTCCATGTGTTGTGCCCATAGCTATTTTGTCAGATGCCAGTGTTGAAAGAATAATTCCAAAATCTCAACTCATCCAATTTGCACGAAAGTGCTTTTTCTTCTTCACAGGATTGCCTTTTGACCTTCATATCTCTCTTTTAACTACATTTTTTTTTATTCTTACTCTTACACTTGAAGAAATCATTCTTCAACACCAATGATTTAGGGATCAATAATCATAATTACTCATTTCACAATCAACATCATATGATTTAGTTTGTGCTACTTCACACCAATGATTCATCTAATGAAACAAACTTGCATCATTATGCAGTTATGTTTGGCCCACAAAATAAAATTACATTCAAACAGTCCCTTTTGAATTTCAAAAACCAGATCTTTTCGTCCTCTGAAATGGGGCCACTTTCTGAACTATCACGGGCCATGGTAATATCAGGTCCATTTCATTGTGGACGAAAGTTTAGTCAGCTAATTTATTTTCCTGGAATTTTAAAAATTTAATGAACCCCTTACAAAAAGAATGCCAAAAACACTTGTTTACCTGCTGCATTCATCATTCAACAGATTTGGACGAGCGGGTGAAGACGTTGAATAGGAAGAAAACTCGTAAGGAAAACAGCCCCGACAGCTTTGCGGGCAGAGCCAACTCTTACTACCATGAGCGCCCTCAGCTTCTTGAACTACTTAATGACCTCTACAACAGTTACCTCTCTTTAGCTGACCGTTATTGCCAAACGCTAGCCACGAAGCAACACCGCCACAGCCGATGCTCGTCCCCACTCCCAAATTTGAAATTCGACCAAAATATTCAACCCGATGAAGGAGACCCTGGAGAAGTCATAGACTCTCCATATGCTGAGAGTTCACTATCTTTCCAGTCCCCAGTGGCTGTTGTACCTCGAGCAAATGAAAAAATGAATGTTGATATGATCTTTGCTGACCTAGTTATGAAGGTGGTCGAGTACGATATAGCTCTGAACGAGCTCAATGTGGTGGAGAAGAGGTGGGGCGAGTCGTCGAGAAAAATGGAGCTCCAGCAGAATTTGTTGGACGTGCTCGAGTCAGAAAGGCTCATCTTACTGAATGATAATGCGACCTTGGGGTATAGAGTGACAGTGCTGGAGAAAGAGAACAAGGGGCTGGCATCCGAGTCGTTGTTCTTGAAGAGAAAAGCTGCTGAGCTGGCGAGGTGCGTTCTGAAGGCAAGGGAGGATCACAGGGTCTGCATGCTGAGTCGAAAGATAGAGGATCTTCAGGGGCAGATTTACGGTTTGGAAAAGAGGAACAAGGAGTATTACGAGCAGCTCGTGATGAAACGGCAAGGGGAGGATTTGTCTTTGTCTTCTAAGGGGAGGAAGAAGGGTGGTGAGGAGGTTGAGTTGGAGGACTGCTTTCGTGCGGGTGCTGGTGGTCTTGGTAAGTGCTTTAGCTTTCAGCGAAAAAACGATGGTGATCAGGACAAAAATGGCAGAATGAGGCTCTCTACCAGTAAGTTGTGGGACATGATCAAGAAATTTGATTTGCTCCATTGTGGCCCTCACTTTGATTATACTGCTTCCTGAGAAGAAGAAACAAATCCAACCCAAGCAATATAAAGATTAAAAGGATCACAGTATTTTGCTTATCTAAAATTAACATGTGCAATATTTTGCTATAATCTGCTCTGTACAATTAACCTGCTTCAAACGATGGTGGATCTTTGTTAGCATCCAAGCAGGTTTCTGTTTGTATTATTAGCATTATGATGCATAGGGTTGAAGCCTGTATAATGTAGCATCGGCATTTTAAGTTGAGTTTGCAATGATTTAGCAATTACTAATGTGTACATCATGGATTTGTTGTAAAAATCATTCAAAATACTAGAATGAGATTAAGAAAAAAAAACAAGGCTAGCCATATATGTCGTGTAGGGATCTCTAGTTCGTAAACACTATGCTACAGTAATAAGATAGCTATAACAAATTACGAGTCGAGCTTTGACTCGAGCGCTCGCGAGTCGCTCGTGAGCTGCTCGACTCGTTTGCAGCCATATGTTAAATACATATTTGNTAACTAAAATATAAACTTCAAATGAAAAAAATTAGCTAAAAATTACATATAACAAGAATGATATGTATGAAATTGATTTTTTAAATGCGTATCTTTACAATTTTGTTTTGAGCATGTATATTAATTTGTGGGTCATTATAATGTATTAGTGCAATATGTAAAGCCACCGCCCAACCGGTCTCGTCATCAAAAGTCGAAATGAATGTCTCACCCTTAAAAGCCTTATTTTTGCATGACGACACGCGTCAATCACCTAACCCTAAGGTGGCCATCATTCGTTTTCTACTTTTTTCATGTATAAATGAGGCACAACGTACTTCAACAGAGATAACAGCGAAATACGAAAAACACAACACACAACGAATTCTGGAAAAAAATATCCATATATAGATCGCAAAAAAAATACGCTATTATTCTCCTTGTCGATGTCTCCATATAGATCGCAAAACTCCGTTTGATTTCCGCTTTCATGCTTTTAATTTCGCTCGTACACTGTTAATTTATGCAATCTCTCTCATTATAGCACAAAATCGTTACTTAAATTCCCCTTATCTCGTAAGTAAGTCACCACATTATCATAGTTGACGCCCGACCGTCAACAAATTGGTGCTATAGGGAGGGCCAATCAAGGGTTTTGGTGAATGTTCTCCTTAATTTTACTTAGCCATGTTCACATTATATCATGAACGCTGGGAATCCAGCCAGCATGAGGGTAATTCCCTCCCTCATCTTGATGTTGCTGACATCTTTCAAAACTCAACGTTTGTTAAGGGCCTTAATGAACTATTTTCTCAAATGCTTCGTAATAATCCTCAATCAAACACTAACCCTCCAAAACCCCTTCAAACTCATTTTTCCTTGTCCCAAGAAACCCACTCTCACGAACATCATGAATCTCATTAGGGCAAGGATAAACAAAAACCATGATCGTCTAAAGACCGTGAGAGCATGGGTGAAAGTCAGGCTGACTCGGGGGCCCGTATGAGTTCGAACGCCAGATTGGTATTTAATCAATTGGGTAATAATCAAAAAGATCTCTAACAGCAGATCACCAAAAGGATACTCGAAAAGGAGGCCGAGGACATCACCTCGTTAAAACAACGGATCGCCAAGATTGAAGCTCGGCAAACTCTGAAAACAGCCAAACGGCTGACTACCAATCCTCACTCATCTCCAGAAGGTGTCTCAACAGATCGCCAAGCTTGAAGCTCGACAAACTCTAGAAACAGCCAAAAAGCTGACTTCCAATCCTCGCTCATCTCCAGAAAGCGTCTCAACAGATCCAACATCACCACTTTCGCCCCATATCCCGACAAAAGTGTTGCCTAACATGATCAAAGTCCCTCAAATTGGTCTATGTCATGGCGATAATAGCATTCTTGAGCCTAAAAGGCATGTCCACGTAGTAGGTCCCTTTCGAGGCGACGAGGCTCTTTCTGTCGCCGTCGCTTCTCAGGTCCTTCTTGGTCATCCCTTTTCTCTTTACCCTTAAGGACAAACTTCTTAAGGTGACCAACCATTATTACCCATTCGATCTCATCCTTCTGCTTCCTGCAGTTGTTCGTATAGTGTCCATAACCCCTATTGTATCTACAATACGAAGTTTCTTGGGTAGGAACGAACCCTCTCTTTATGCGAATATGGGAAGGTCTGGCAAAGATTCCCGTTGCTCACCTCTTTTCTAAGACAAACACTTCCCTATGGGGTATGGTGAGGGGTGCATATTTACCATATTTGTAGCCAACCTTGTAACGATTCTCAGGTCTCTTGGCCTTGGCCTTATCGTTATGTAAGAAGTCGGTCTCCACTTCTTCCATATTTAGTCACAAATATTGCCCCGAAGTTTGATACTGACAATATTACGACGACCAAACTCTAGTGGCGCCTAATAGTTTGATATAAACCAACTATTTTTTTATATTAGTTATTTAGGTGAATAAAAAAAATGTTGCATACTTGCATACAAGTCAGAGAGAGAGAGAGACNCATGCAGATGGTAGAGATACACTTGTTGATGAACCAAAGAAGACAACACAATCAAGAATTCATGATATATCAAGAGAGAAAGAAAGAGAGATGCTTATAAGCTTAACCCGTCATCGCCCGCCAGATAACTCGACAGCGTCCAACATCCCAACCGAGTCCTCACCCCAATAAACATCTCATGAACCTGAAACATCGACACAAACGTCTCCCCTTAGGCCTCTTTTCCCACCCTTCCACCAAATGAATACGAGGTAACTTCCAAGTATGAGAATAACCACAAGTGAAACGGTAATTCCGACTATCATACTGGCCTTTGGTTTACGTTTGCGACCTACAAATGAAGCATTAAGTGATAATAGATCAATCACCTCAATCACTTAACCCTCGAGTATTCTTAAAATACAAACTCAAACAACAATAATATATACATATAGCTTAAAGGCACACCCTCACTCGCAGGGTATTAATTTAACTAATGGTTCTTTTCAAATGTCCCATGAGGTTATGTGCACCAAAAAAAATAAATGCTTTCAAATTTATAAGTACCCAATCAATATTAATATCTACTCTAAAAATTGCATCTGAACATGGAGAATTGGTTGGGTGTCATTGTTTTTGTAGTTTAATTAGCATAAAAACATACCTGCATGTATAGATTCACAAGAGGGAAAAGGTGTGGTTCCACAATCCAAATGGTTCCCAGACAAACTGAAAGAAGCAAAAAACTCAAATGACTATTGGTAGTCATGTAGATAAGCACAAAATATAACCACAGACAGATAGAATTGAAATGAAACATACTTGTATTTGGAAACCTCAAACAACTGCCGAGGTACTTTCCCACTGAGATTATTTGAAGCAATTTGGCTACAAAACAAGTTTCATACATATGATAAAATACAGTTGTTCGCAAACATGGAAACACATATCTGTGTAAAACAAAGCCACCAAAAACATAGCTGATGATAGCATATAATTGGCTTACAGGTCAGTCAAGCTTGGAAGGCTCGCAAGTGATTCTGGAATTGATCCGGAAAGATTATTTTGACTCAAAACCCTGTGAAATGAAGAATTGAATATCATTTTGATTGGACATACTAAATAGAAAAAGAAAAAGTTTTTGTCTTTTTGAAAAAAAAAATGTGATATCTTTATGCATGCTTACAGAAATGTGAGCTTCCCGAGATTTCCAATGGAAAACGGTATTTCTCCAATTAACTGGTTATTCTCGAGATTCAACATACTCAAGCTTGTCAAATTTCCAATCTCTTTGGGTATTTCACCAGTTATGCCATTTCCTCGCAAGTCGCTGCATTAAAGAGTTATGAAAAATAAAAGAAACGAAATCAACTAAATTATCCCAACAGTTTGTAATAGTATAGCCCAACTGCTAAAAAAGAGGAACAGCACACATCAAAAAAAAACCCACCATCTCAAATTAAAGACACAACAAAAAGTGATAAATTTCATAAAAATAAAAATGAGACAATCAGATTTAAATCAACATAAGCACTAAAACCAGAAAGTTCACAATACATACAGTGTCGTAAGTGCCTTTAGTTCCCCTATTCTTGGTGACATGGTTCCAGAGAATCCCAAATAAGGCAGGACCCTGGCCAAAAAGAGAAAAACAAGAATAAATAAAGATCAAGCAGATATATTATGTCATAGTTATGAAGCACATTAAACAGATACAAAGACTTCTATTTAGTCATTTACTGTAGTGGAAGCTAAAAATAATTGAGAATCAGTAGTTGTAAGTATTTACAGAGGAAAAGTGAAAACTGAGTAATTTGAAAATTAAATTTAACAGCTGAAAATGGAATAAGCTGAGGAAGAGTTGCTTACTGAATAAGTTGTTAGTGTTTTTTATTCTATTTTCTTTTTGGGTAAAATCGTAACAGAAGCATAATAATTATTAAGAAATTCAACAGGCTTGTTTTCATTAGAGGTAAACTTTGGCATTTCAAAACCCATAAAACTATTTCTCTCAGCCTCACTAGGAAGAAACACTTCTTCTACATTCTTCACTAACACTCCCATGAATCACACACAATGTCAAACAAAGTTAAACAATAGTAATCAATTGAATGGTTAAATCAATCTTCAATATTTCTTACACTGATATTACACTGTTATTTGCGCCGCACGTAATTTTCGACCAAGTGCAGGGAGTCACTTGATTGGGATTCCAATCCTGGAGCTGATTGGCTGAAGCATTAAGTGAAGTCCTCAAAGCATACAACGCGTCTCCTTGAAAAATCATGTAATGTAATGTATTAGTGAAGCTGTGTGAAGGTCATACTGAATAAAGAATCTTATGATGTTTATAAAACACTTGGGAACATAAAAAGAATGAAAAATACATCTTTTGAGATGTAGGATCATAGAAACTAAAATGCCTCTCAACTTCAAAATTCCCTTTAGCTTTGTGAGTGCAAGTACATAAGTTGACCATAGCAAACTAATAACAAAATGGCCTTCGGTTAATAAATCTGGCATACAGAAAAAAGGACTTCATAGAGAAAAACTAAATTTCCAAAAACGCAACTGAGAATTTAGAGGCGTGCGTCACATCTATTTCCAGCTTCTACTCTTGAAAAATGAATCCCAAGTACAGATTTTTTTTTTCTCTTTTAACTAACTTTGTGCTATATCTACCATTTACCAACAAAAGAAGAGGTTCAAAAAGACTGAAAAAATCCATCTCTGCCATTGATGTTAAATTTCTATGCAGGCTCAACTAAAAACCTGCATATGTTCATACACAAATGAATCTCAAGTGATTAATTCATCACATTTAAGCATGAAGCAAGTATTTGGCACCTGGAACTGAAAATTATTATTGAGGACGAAGAGT